CAGTGACTGCACGTCCACAAGCATGACCGTACACTTTGCAGGTGCAAAGTGCATACCAAAGGACGGGATGACTTTGGTCAGTTAATCCAAGAATACTTGCACCTTCTCCGCCTCTTCGAACATGAGAACGATGTCGACAAGGTTTTCTTCACTGGCTATTTGAACACCAGGTTTTCGGAGACCCTCCAGCGTTCGTCTCATTATTTCATCGCTCACAAAGTTAAAAAGGAATGGAGAGAGTGGGTATCCCTGACGGGGGTTGGTTGGGGAGTGGTTTTCACGAACTCCCCAAACCATTTTTGAAAATAGGAATAATTGTCGACATACCCCGTTCTACAGGCAACTTCTCTTCGTTCCAAATAACACCAGTAAACCTTGTCAGATGGGTCATCAGTGATTCTCTGCCTTCGTTGAAGAGGACTAGAAACAAACCGTCCAGTCCTGATGCCTTCTCACGTTTTTTTCCCTAATTTCTTTTTCCGACGGCTGATTAATTTTTACACGCCATTCGTCCGTAAGAACTGTCTCCGGGGGCTGTGTTGCAGGGGGCCAGCTAAACTGTTCATCGAAGTTTTCGGCCCATCTTTCCAATCGATCTTTTTGCGAGTGAATTAATGAACCGCTTTTTTCACTTGTCGTTTCAATGACCGTTGCTCTCCTAGGGCCTGTCAGTCGTATCAGTTGATACAAGTCAACACTGTTTCTTGCAGCAGGAGCCTTCTCTACCTCCCGTGATTTCGATTTCCACAAAGACTCTTGGTCTTTTCTAAAGCTCTTCAGTCTCTGTCTTCAGAGGGATTTGTGTGCGCCGTAGAACTCGTTGCCTGCTGGTATGGCTTTCGTGGCATCAATCAGGACTAGCGGTCACGACGATATCTAATTGTTTTTGGTTGTATCGAAGTTAAGTAGACAACATTGAAGCCCCAGGCATAGCTTCTTTCACATTGTGCCGTGCTTCACCCACGTGATTGCTGCCGATACCTCCTTGGTTCACTGGAGAGCGTTGTTGAACTAGCTCAGGTTGGTACTGCTTAGCCGTGGTATATCTTCAAAGATGGATTAGTTTGTATCTTGCTGACTTGCAAGGGGTTGATGGGGAACAAGCTGTCGGACATGCTCGCACCATGGCATGATTGAATTCACGTTTTTCCCGGACGGAACGGTGGTCTGGAATTGTGGCTCTCCACCGGTGGCTGGTGACCATGCGATCCATTTGGGGGTGGTCTGGAATTGTGGCTCTCCACCGGTAGCTGGTGACCATGCGATCCATTTGGCTCGACGGTTAATTTGCGGTTGGTGGCCGCCAGGTTACACAATGTGAAGTTTTACGCTGAAAGTTTGTGCTGGTCAGAACTAAGACACACGGGCACAATTTGAGAAGTCGTTTTCAGTTGTCCTTGTGACGAGCATCGACTCCGAATCGTCCACCCAGACTTGATCCTAAGGAGCTCAGTTGACCGACTTGGGCATTCATTCGGCACGCAACGATCACAATACCAGTGTTTCTTGCTTGACGAACGACCTGATAATCTTCTCGTCTTACACGGGAGTAATGTAGCTCAGTGGTTACAGTGCGAATTTACTGACCGGAAGGTGCTTGGTTCATACCTAACTTTTGCCTCTCGACTTCCCCTTGGGCAACCTGGCAATATCCTAACCCTCGTGCTTCCTCTGGGTGGTATGGTAGCTAGGCGCCAAAAGTGTGTTACAGTTAGATGACTTTTTTCGTCTTACACTTCTATGTTTTCCCTCCTACCCTACCCTGCATCATACTCAGCCGCAGCTTCTGTACGTTCGACCTCAGTGACAACCGTTAACACCTCAAACTCTATTTTCAAACCCCGAAAGGCGATCAATTTAGCTGCATTTGATGTTTTCTCACTGAAACAAACAAGAGGCTGCTGCAGCTGGATGTACCGGGGTGAGTATTGTACTTGGGCGACCGAACGGAACGAAAGGATCTACTTGAATATCCGTTGATGCTCGCCTCTGTGCGGTTCGTTTGGCAACGTCTGAGATCATCTTGAGAAAGTGAGGTCCATCGCACCCTGTATGTTGCGTCTGCTTACGCCCCAACGGAGTGTAGCCGTGAATCTGCCAAGGACGGTTTCTATGATGCTCTAGGTGCTCTTTTACATTGAGGTTAAAGTTCAGGTTGGTGCTGACATGAACTCCCAGGTAGGTAGATCAGGCACTGCTGAGGCCCAATGGGGCGGTCGTCTCGGGTTGGATACGAGACGCACGGACAACTGCAACTGCCTACTTCAGATGTGCGCTGATCACAGACTGTTCTTTTTGCAGTACCAGTTGCCGGAACAGCGGAAATCGGTGGGCAACGTGGTGCTCCTCACCGCAACCACAACTCAACTCGACGCATCATCTCACACTGGGTAAAACTGATTGTGCAGACCGCAAAGTTAAGTGTATTCAAAAAGTAGAAAAAATAGAAGAGGCAAAAAATCCTGGAAGCATCTACAGGCCGTTCCACTTGACTCGTTAGACTGATCCTTGGAAGACTCCTGCGAGCAAAACTATCAGGGACCGCAGTGGCTCTTTGATATTTAGCAGAGGAGAATGTTTTTGCCTCTGGACACAATCATCACCATCGGTAACATGACATCACTGTTTAACACTGATACTTCGCTGTCGTACAGCCGTGATTTATTTGTGATGACAAGTAAAAATGGAGATGGAATGGAGTTAGTGATAGCTAATTACACTCATTCCGAGCTAACTTACCCCAAACACATTCAAGCAATCTGGATAGAAACTGACAACAAGAACACCAACGAGATCGATTAGCAGTCATATCTTGCGGTGTCTCCAACACTCAATGGGGACCGCGCGGTCACCATCCCAGACGGCAGGTGGAACCGACAGCCCCCAAACCTTCAACAATCTCTCGTACCCCTCATCATCATCGACAGCATGGCACCAGTGTTCAACACCGATGCTTCACTGCCGTACAACCATGATTTATTTGAAAGCCCTCAGCCAGATCAAGGGTTGGCCATCTCTTCTTTCGCCACTGAGTTGGGCACGGAAAACAGCGCCCTCTTCGAAAAACGATATTTCGGCATGCGCACTACACGGCCTAACCAACGTAGCCTATGGTGGTGGTCACATTCTTTAGTGTAAGTCGCCGCTGCGCAACCGAAAACTCGCTTTCTAATTGCCTCCTTACGGGTTCGCTGACACCAACCCACATGAGCTATGGGTCTGATACAGCGATTTTCGAACACCTGGAGACGTCTAAGTTCCACTGCTCAAACAGTCCAAGTCTCATAGCCCATATAGCGAAACAGTCCTTACTGTACCTTGATACACACGTCCCTTGAGATTCAGGGATACACCACTTTGACGCCATAGGTGTCTCAAATTATCAAGCGCCACTCAAGTCTTGCGGAATCGTGCATTGGCCTCATCTGTCACCTTGCAATCAGCATAACCTTACTATTTGTGAGTGCAGAGTGCATACCAGAGGACGAGATGCCTTTGGTCAGTTCATCCAAAAACAAGTACGCCTCCTCCTCCTCCTCTTGGAATATGAGAACGATGTCGGCTGCCCATTCCAGATCGATAAGGTTTTCGTCACAGGCTATTTGAAGACCGGGGTTTGGAGACCTTCCAACGTTCGTCTCATGATTTCATTAATCAAGAAATTAAATGAGAATGGAGGGAATGGGCACCTGCGCCTGACAACGCTTTGTGTACGGAAGCTTTTGGATAACTCTCCGTATACTTTCAAGCGCCCGAAAGTTCGATAGTATGAACATCATGTCCACAGACTTCCTGGATATTCCTGCACGGGCAAGCGTGTCAAGGAGAACACCGGCCAACCGACTCGAATTCGCCTTGGAAATCCAGAGATACTAAAATTGTGGGTCATTTTTACGTATGGCGTTGTTCCAGTACCTGACGGAGTGTGAAGATTTGTTCAACGCAATCCCTACCAGGCCGAAATCCCGCTTTCTACTCTCAAATCAGTGTTTCGCAAGCCGTCATAAGGAGACGAAACACAAGTAACGCCAACAATCCCGTTACGACCTTTTGGGCCTACGAGGTTCACTATGAGCCTTTCTTTGAAAATGGGTACTACAATCGACTCTGCCCAATTGTCTGAGACAGTTCCCTTCCCCAAATGCAGCAAAACCTATCAAAGGAGCTCGGACTTAGGACTTCACCCGCATCTTTGGACAATGCGGGTGCGAGGTCATTCGCGCCAGAGGCTCGATAGTGCTTGAAAGAACATCTGCAGTCACAAACCTCCGAGGCCGCAGGAGGTTCCACGTTCATTGTCCAAAGTTCGGTTTAGTTGTTGACTTCAGATGAGTGGTATATGGTGGCGACGATAACTGTCGTTCGAAATATTCAGCCCACTGATTAAGGAGTTCTTTATTCAAGATGATCGCCCCATTCTGACCCTTGGCGATTTCGCCCACATTTGGTTTCCTTGGACCATTCTCACGGATCAACGAAAATAATCTTGGGACGTTACCGGCTTTCCTGGCCTCTTCCATGTCCTTCCTGCGCCAGACTTCACGGTCGGCTCGCACGCTCATTTTCACCTGACGTCTGATGACTCATCGGGCTAAGTTATGTTCGGGACCGGCCAGGATGTTTCTCTGACATTTTAGCAGTGCCACCGTTCGGTCTGATATCTAGTGCTTGAGTGGGCTTGGTACAGTCGGGCCACGGACAAAACTTCCAGTACAATACAAAGCGGTGATGATCTTGTTTCAGTATGAATTCACATATGATGGTGGAGCATTTGGAAGAGACTCCAGAAGACGATTCTGGTAGGTTTGTCTAACATCCGGATCTGCCTGGTGATTTGTCCGAACCTTACGCGGCCCTAGAAAATGAAGGGAGAGTGCGTGGCCGGAATCCACAAATGTGTTTCAAAATGAGCAGCAGTCATTGATCTGTGCCATTGGTGAGTGAGGACAATGTGTTCAATTTCAATTTTTAGCCGGCATGCCTTTGGAGGACACCATGTGTCCAGGCGACTTCCGCTCTTTTGGAAGTTAGTACTGCATAGAGCTACAATCGATTGGAGCGTAAGTAGACCCGACAAACGAACAACGATCAACTTCTGAGACTCATTCGCAGACCTTACCGTTCGAGGTGACTATCAACGGGTATCCAGTCAAGCAAAGATCCTTCCACCTGCTGACTTAGGACAATATTAATATCTGTACATCCTGCCTCAGCGGCCTCTATGTCATCAGAGGTGCGCAGTCGGAAGCAAGTGGAGAGCGGTGGAGCAATCAGCTGGATCACTGTGCTTACATCTTGTATCTGTGTTTCTGATATACAACACACGTTAATGCCAAGGGAGTCCAATATGAGAGCAAGCGCAGCTTGTTATCTTGCTTGCTTGAGAGCGCGGACCAAGGTAGACTTGGCGTCGAGACTTGAGAATTGATTTCGAGATGTCTGAGAGTGTCGGCGCCGGATGAGGCACAGATATTGCTTGCAAAACCGATAACGTACGAAAGGAGTCGTCAGTCCTAACTGCTGGGCCTGCAATAAGAGTATTAATAATGGGGTGCGGGGGGGGAGAAAAAAGTATTTTAAGGGGAACTAAGGGAGGCATCAGTAGTAGGCTGTTTCTGCTTACCCGCCCTGCTGTATGCATTAAGTGAGGCGACCCGGTTGATGACATCACGTGACGGCCGATGTAGCATGAGTTCATTTGTGTGTGGAATTTATGGTAGTAGATGGGCTGGAATACTCCCAGGGCTCCCACACCTAGACCTGAAAACGACCAAAACCAGTGGCTCAAAATTCTGAGAGCAATGCAGCGATATTTCGCGGGAATGGCAAGTTCATTTCAATTTTACAGAACAAGCCGCCTTACATGTTCTAGCCCCCAACCTAGAGGACTAGGAGACTTAACCCTTAACTATGAACCAGGTTGGTATTGGAGACTGCGAACGTCGCGCGAACACACCCCAGTATAGCGAATATACACTCATCTGCAAACTAATTTGGTTCTTTCGAGAGACTCACCTGGAACCCAGCTGAATCTCTCGTTTATGATGTTCTCAGGCAACTGAATGTGCTGCACCAGGCCGCCTCATGTTTCAGTCGCTACGATATTTGAAATATCGCGATACATGTATATTTGTAATGTACTACTCATAAGGTTGCTGAAAATCCATCGACAGCCCACGACCGGTTTCGCCCTTCTTGGGGCTCATCAGGTAGGCGCAGTCCCCGGGTTTCCGTCAACCTTATGTTCTACTTGAAACCAAATTGCACGAAAGTAGCGAATGTACACTCATCTGCAAACCAATTGGTATAGCTCACTGGATGGCGGCGGCACACAAACTCACAGCATGGTAGCGTCCAGTCTCTTCGTGACGGCTGGACCACCTGCTACCTGCAGTCCGGCGTTCAACAAGAAGATGGACTGCGGATATGAAGTACCCTTCAATCTCAAAAGTGTTTGAGTGTATATTTCCACTCAAGCGCCATCGTGCTGCTGGTTTTGATGACCTTTCACCTGTCCTGTTCAAGGATGGCGGTGGATTTCTCACCTAGTGCCTGTCTAGCCTGTTTGCGCCCGTGTGGGAAAAAGAGACCGTCCCAGACAACTGAGGTGAGTCGATAATATTGCCCATTTTCAAAAAGCGTACTCGCCTTGGGTGTAGTAACCACATAGATGTTAGTTTGTTCTCCACTGTAACAAGGCTTCTGGCGTCCCTGATTCTTCGTCGAAGCCTTGGCTCGTGAGAATCAAGCGGGATTTTGACCTGGATTTTGACCTGCGTTGACCACATCTTCACACTCCGTCAGGTTTAATGGCAGCGCAGTGTGTACAGACGACGTACAATCTTGGTGTCCCTTGACTTCAAGAATGCGTTTGATTCTGCTGATCAGTCAATTAACTACACTCGCTCAACAGTGTACTTTCCGGAAGCTTGTAAACATAACCACGTCGCTATATTCATATACTTCTGGGCTTGTGAAAGTGCCTAGTGAGCTCTTCACAAGTTCCTTTGCGAAAAGTAGAGTCTGATGGGGATGACCTTTCTCTCCGTTGTTGTTCATCGGTGGAATGAGGTAACGCTGCAAGGTGTTGGAACTGTTGCTGGTAAGAACTTTTGTGACCTGGGGTACGCAGAAGATATCGTCCTCATCTTTGAAGATTTAGGCGAAGCACAATCCCCGTCATACCATCTTTCGGAATACGTCTTGCATCTTTAAAGTAAAAATTCATGCTTCATAATGTACTGCTTACAATTCAAGGGAAATCATTGGTGGTTGTGGAGAATTCTACATACGTCGTTGTTCATATTTGCTTTTGGTGGAAGTATATCTGATGAAGTCAGTGCACGAATCTCAAAGGTCCGAGTTGCTAATTTGCGTTACTTTTGGCATCGAAAAAGCACATCACTGAGTCTCAGGGTAGCAGGTTACATTAATGGCTGTATCGCTGTATGGTAACTAGCCAGTCTTTAGGGGCAGATGGTGTGAGGTGTCTTCAAAATTTTGACTACGGATGCCTCAGAAGCATTGCCAATGTCGAATGGCGTTAACCAATTCGTGATGAGGTCATTAGAAAACGGGTGTCTGGTTGTGCAACAGGTTCTTCAGTCGCGGAAACACCTAACCCATCAACTACGTCTCGAGAGACTAGTGTTGTTTTCTGTACCTCTTTCAGATTGGCGGGAACCGTGAGGGTGTGAAAGAGATTACGAAGAGTTTGGATGTTGTTGGTGTTGTACGCCTTCTAGGATGGGGTCCCCATGACCCCTGCTGCGATTGGCTGGAGATACTGCAGGAAACGTTGGCTGATCGATGTCAGTGGAGTTCATGTTGTCAGTTTCTTTCCGTATTGTCTGGTTGCACTTTTGGAGGTGTAGGCGCCTCAGAACGCTTGCGGTAGGTCAGCAGCAGGTCCCCTCCCTCACCCACTTTTATTTCCTTTTCTTCCCAAGAAAGATAAACTTTGTGGTTGTGCTGGAGTAAAGTATCAGGGTGAACACTGATGTTGGTGTCTCTGATGATGGTGGTGATGATGACTTGACTCAAAAACGGGTTTCTAAGTATTCTTCAATCTTCTTGTCCTCATACTGTTAATTGCGGTAGATTTAGTTGTGAAATGTGGAATTCGACCTTGAAATTCATGTTACAGTTTTCTCCTCAAACTTATTACAGATATCACTGAAGAAGTTAAACTTGTGTTGTGAACACTTCATTTGAGTCCCCTCTTGACTGGATCCTCATGAGGTGCATATCGTATTAGGTTGATAGAAGCCTGAACACAGATTAGAATGTCCGGAATAGTGCTGCTCCATTTCCTTCACAATCGGTGAGGCTATAATCGGTTGGAAACACTTGATGAAGAGTACTTTCACAAGCAGTCGTAGTTGTTCGTGTTGATTTTGTTTACATCCGTTTGTACATGGGTTTTATCGATTGTTGAAACCGGTTTTCTGTACTTTTAGCTAGTGATCCTGAGGTAGCTCAGTTTTTGAGGCGCGAATTTACTGGCCAGGTGTGCGATTCAAACCTAACCCACCTCGACTGCTCCTGTTTCGGCTTGATCAGTGTGGTGGTGCCTTAGCTCTCGTATTTTCTTCGGGCTATTCGGCAGCTAAGAACCGCCTGCAGTCTGTATCCCAGGTTTCTTCAAACTAATCCTCTGATCCATATACTCTATTTGCCAATAAGTTCATATAGACGGCAGTCACTTGGGGATGGGTTGACCGTGCATGTGCAGATACCCTGGTTATTCATTCCCATATTGCATGTGTCAACCGAATTGATGGTCCACAACTGTCAACCTTGGTGGATCAATGGATGGATCAATGGTTAAAAAGCATGAGCACGTATGCGTATTTCCATCAGCCTCAGCACAATACACACACTTAGGCAGGAACGTGACCAATAAGTACAGCACATAGAATGTCTCACTGTTGGCACTTATAGACACATGTTATATTTTCTGTGTGAGTTTGGTCATTTTACTTCTGATGAAGTTTGCTTGGGGTAACCAAAGCGTTGAGCAACAAAAGTGCGCTGAAAGACGCTGTGTTCTCTCGCAGTTACCAAACTAACCAACCCTCAAACTATATGACTTCATTGGTTTTGAGTTGGGTACTCTCAAACTGAATTATTCTGAACGCTGACACACATACACTGAACGTGCAGCAATTGAATTGTTTGCTTCCCCTTACTATTCACAGAACGCTATGATCATATCGGACGGCTCCTTCGACCCGGCGAACCACATCGCGTTTATGAAGAAACGGATGAGCCCCCAGTGGACGCGACAGTTCCACAGTCTGACGCAAAAAAATCAATATAAACGCTGAATTCGGTGTTGCTTGGTCCATCCCGTCTAAAGATACTCGTGCCTTATCTCGATACTCGACTATTTCCAACACTGCTCTCATTTTGTATGAACCATTGCAATTTACTTCCAGTAACTGTGCAACTGTTTTCTTTTTTCTCTATTTCGATATCGTCAGGTCCGCCAAGTATGTATATTGGACAGTTGGGTTCGTTCAAAACTGAGCTGTCGAAACTTGATTTGTTATTTTTCTAACTGTATTTGTTGCACTTCTCCCGGTTCTGTATTGTCGGTCTGTGTTTGTTCTCTTACCACTAAAGAAATCTATGTTGGTGGCGGTGACAAGTGAACGGACCACTCCGGGGTGCTTGGCTGCTATGTGGTGGTAGGAATATCAACTGCGTTAGATTCCTTACGTTCCATGGTCAGAGTTCTTGAGACCAGTTCAGTCCATTCTGTACAGGAGTGAGTTAGTTTCAGTTGTTATGGAATGATTGGATATTGATTGTTGGGTTTCCTTGTGTACGGTTGATTTAGCCTCTGAAAAGCGAAGATACCGTGTGTTAAACACAAGTCTCCACGCCCGAAAATTCCAAACGATATTTGCGCTGGCTAGAGTAGCGTCATCCCAATACAACAATCTGTGGACGCAACTCACAAGTGGCTTGCCTCCATCCCAGCGTCGCGCTAACCTTTCTGGTGAACGCAGAGTGATTACAAAGGTATGCTCACTTGGAAATGCAAGGTAATCGAAATAGACTACTCGCACGGCAGTGCACTTTGAACAGGAGTATATTCACCAATGTTGATTTTTTTCTACCTCCACCCTGGAGTAAGTTGAATTCCCTCGAAAATTACTTCATCCATTTCTAACCTACAGTATACTTTGGCGTGCATATTTCCACCGGATAGCCATTTCTTTGTTCGGGAATTCTCCTATTCATGGATGTTAGATCTTGTCAGGAGCGAGTTACAAATTCCGTCACCTGAATGATAAGGTATCTTTTCTTCCCGGAACCAAGTTTTTCCGAAACTTGTCACTACAACTTCATCAATTCAGCGTGGAGACCACAATGCAAAGGATGTATTCATTGCGGGCGAAACCTTAATACATTACCGCACAATTCCACAGATATCTCAACAGAACGAGAGTAAAAGCCAAAAACGCATCGTGCTGTTTTGTGTACGAAGGGAAAAACCCTCGAGTGATTAGAAAACATACCAACAACAGTGTTCGCGGAGCACTGACTCTCCTCAATTACTGGTGAAGTATTATCTCCTAGAGGGCCAGGATGGCCAACGTCTTTTTCCTGGATGGACTCTTCATTCTTGGGCGGCAAATGTCTTGGCTGGTGAGAGATCAACATATTTTCCAACGTTCATTTGGAATACCTGCCACCTATATGTGCATACGTTGCACAACCAATAAGGCCAGCGATTCCCCAGAGACGGAAGTGCAAGTACTGCGAAGTCCTGCTGTAGTTTGCCATCGGGGTTGCTAAATTCATGCATAGCATGCTTCTAGTTCAGTTTATCCACGGATCTAGGAAGTATATACATCTGGATGTTATCATTAATGCCTCACATTAAGCAAGACTTGCAGACGGATCGGAACTGCCTGTGTCATCCTATGTGGAATATCCCCTGACTACGCTGCAACCGACCAAGATGGTGGTTGTCCATGTGGAAGATAGCATTGAGATAATCATGTCTTAGAATCCGAATTCTGTATTTAGTACCGTTGACAGTCTCAGACTGCCAACGGTATCAGGAGCCAAGAAGGCATCGGAAGGATTGATGGCAGACATCCTCGGAAACCAGGCTTCTCTGGTTTCACTTGATATTAGCTTTTCGGTAGTAGAAACGCTTAGGGCGTATCAACTAATTCATACCTACTGTCGAGGATCATAGATCTCCTTCTGGGCCTCAGTGCTGCCTTCACAAGACCTGGTGAAGAAGCAGTCGTACATTTTATTTTTGAAAAATAAGCGTTTCAGCTTCCTCCATGATTTGGAGAAACCGTTTTTGAAAGGTGAGTGTCCTCATGGCGAGTGACGATATAATGTGGGCATACTGTAAGGCGTAGTGGTTGTGTAGTTGATTGTGGTGGTAGCACGGCCGGAGGCGCCCCGACTTTGTGACTGCTGTGCATATGCAAGAGCTGAGCACGACAATGTGTATCCTGTAGGAAGGCTTCATTGCTTGTACAATCTGTCACAATAAGAGGATGAAATTACATTCCTCTGTTCTGTTGTGTTAAGTGATCCGAGGTCGATGGATTAGTCAGAGTGGTTGTTGCTTCATAGAGCAGTTAGTCTCAGTCGTTTGAAGTCATTCTGTAACTCCAGGCCGGTTCAGTTTTGACTTCTGTGCTTCTGGGTCTTAGTTTTGTCTCAAAGAAGATGAAATGTATGCCGCATTCGAAAACTAACTCCCCACCAGGGTCATGAACATTTTTGGTTGGTCTAATCGATGCAGTAATTATAATTCAATCATAACCGTAGATGGTTGTTTATTTTACCTGCAAACACGGAGACGAATGCAAGGTGGTGTGCCGTGATTGTTTGATTTTTTTGGTTTGGCCTGACCTCAACCTGACAGGTCGGCCGATCTTCAATAATCATTAAGCATAATTTATTCAGCCACCAGTAACCATGAATTTATAGCTTACAATTCGTATTGATTTTAGATTCCGGCTTGCAGACATAAATATCTGTTCTAGTGAATCACGAGATATGGATGAAGAGTTTACCTTTACGTCTATCTGTTTGGTGTTCCGTTTTATCAGTGCTTTTCAGGAGGATGATATCAGCAAGGATTCTATAAGTGGCATAAATACACCCTACAAATCAATCAGCAAATGTGATCGTCAAACGAGACTAGGAACTTGCAGGATCAGTCGTAGCGGAAAGTAGCCTGAGCAACAGTCGGTCTGTCCAACCGAGCTCCGTGCATCATAAATAGGTTGATCACGGATCACAATGAGAGTGGATTTACCACTGAAACGGATCAGTTGCATGAATCGTTAATGTCTTCATGGGAAGATACACGTCAGAACACACGGGTTGACTCGTATAAATATTGGTACATTATACATATCTAGATGAACGAGGTAGTCCTTGTAGCACACATGAGTCAACTTGCTTTGTTCACTGATAAATTTATTTGGTGCATTTCTTCATGACTACGTCTGAGTGTGAGTTAGTCGCACTGTTGGTCGGCTACTCCTGACCGAACGGTTTAATATTTGACCACTAACCGGTAGGTCGTTGGTTTGGATCACCCTGGAGAATCGTCAGATTTGGACTGCATTCAACAAGGATGAAACAGCTGTGCAGTCTTCCGTTTTTCGATGTAGTGACTTCAATTACAAGACGATTTGTCAATTGCAATTTAATGGTGACCTGCACTCTGTCACATGAAGCGTTCAAAGACACCGGTATTTTCGTTAGCCATTTGTATACAACGTAGGGAATGCTTCGAATTTCCCGCCTCCGTCAAAGGCGTACGCGTCCTGTTGAAAAGTTAGTATCCGATGCGAATGCTTCTTCGAGGAAGTACAACATTTGCAAACGAAAGGAAATCAGTCGAGCCAAGTTGACAACATTGTACTATGAAACACCTGAGGACTGAATTGCGGTACTGTATCGGCGGATCACCGGACAGCGGGAGCAAATCAGTTTCGCACTTTCACACTAAATTAATACCATCTGTTTTTTCTGCCAAAAGCCGTGTGTTTTATTAGTTGTTACCTCCTTTGTCGGACCTTCCCGTGGGTGGCCACCAATGAAGTGTTTGAGGCAGTATCAACAAGGCTGTTATGCGTAGTACTTCATGCAGAAAAAGACACTAAGAGGTGATGGTTTCTATCATACGGATTTGGAATTTCACCAGGTTGTGAGTATCATACTGGGACCTGAAAATAGGGAAGGTGCATGCAACGCACCACATAGGTTTCATCCAACCCTGTTCGTGAGCCCAAACAAAAAACACTATTACCCAGACATCGCACGGTCCTAAACTTATCTAACTGGACTGAAGTATACTTTTTCGAGTCGCCGCACCGGGACTGGAATCACTGATTCAATCAAATACACCACTACAACTCGTCTAATTGAAATTCCTCATATATTACGCGAGGAGAATTACCAAAAACATTATTTCATATCATGAGGAAACTTTGTCACCAAGGGGATAATTTTGGCACCAAGGATTTTCTAATAAAACCCGTGAACCGAAAAGAGATCTGTGTTTGACTCACAGCTTGGCTGATGGCGCATCTCACCAAATCGTCTGGCTACTTTAGTATTAACAATATTTGCACTTCACCAACAACTGGAACATTCCACTGTTGCACTCCTGACCGAAGTTATACAGGTCGGAGCACCATAAAATAACGCGTAGGTTCATAACGTTGGGAACTACTTTTCTGGCTCAACTCGTGCGCAGTTTATCAAGGCCTTCAATTGTTCAATTGAGTTTTCGCTTAAATACAGCTGCTCGATATTGATATTTGTTAGGCGCGTAGCTTGCGCTGTGTCGTCATCACAATGCACCTTCGCAATAAGTTTTTTGTTCCTTTTTGATTCTATCAACTTGGAACAAAAGCTGCTCATTCGTTGTATCATTACTCAGGGACGTCTTTTATTGAGATTTACTGCTTAAGGTTAACATGCGACATTCACAGGTTTGGATGACTATTGAGAACCCAGTGCTTTCACCCCACACTAAGTGATGCATCCCATCGAGCACTCATTGCAGGGTCACACAATTAAATTTCATTGGTCCGGTGCATGAAACACCCGATAAATGAGTGTTAAATGGAAATTCAACTGGACCCCAGTTGTTTCGTCTATGTATGACGCACCTGAAATTCATATAACCTCTCGTTAATATCAACTTAATTCACAGATGAGTTTACACTTCTAACTGTGTACGACTCGGTACTCAAGTGGATAGTAAGGTTGGTGGAAACTCGGTGTCTGCACGAGCTCCGAGAGGGGCAAAGCCGGTAGTGGGTTGTCGCAGGCTTTTGAGTAACCTTACAGGTCGCCCTTCCCACGAATAATCCACCCTCCACAATATTTCGCTACCGGGTATCGTAGATCCAGGATGGGGTTCCCGTGACCCCGTCTGTGCTTGACCGGAGACGTTGCAAGAAATGGCGGCCAATCGATGTCAGTGACGTTCATGTTCAGTTTCTCTCCAGATTGTCTGGTTGAGCGGTTGGAGCTGTAGGCACCTCAGTATGCTTGACATAGGCCTGCACTAGGTCCCCTCCCATATATATATATAAACTAAGCGAACCTTATGGCTGTACGGCAGTGAGGCATCAGTGCCA